GTGTGTTTGGGTACTTTTGTCCCCCCCCCCCCCCCCCCAATGAGATCAAGGTTTGTTAAAGGAAAATTCCTACCGGGAAATCTGTTGGGGGAGGAATTGTCATATAGAGTTGCCCACCCATACTTGACGCTTTGTGACGTGACCCAAAGAAATGCCACATCGTATTTATGGAAACATAGAGTCAGCTGATCTTAAAACACATCTCTGGAAAGGGAAGATGCTTGAAAGAGAAACGGAGGGGGTGGTTCCTTAAAAGCATCCAGGAAGGAAAGTTGTTGAAGAACTTTCCCAAAGTGAAAATGGCCCGTGTGGCGTTGTGGGTACAGTGTCCGATGAGGCTGTGGCAGACCTGGATTCAGGTCCCCATATCTGTCCTGAAACTCAGTGGGTAGCCTTGAGCTCCTCCTCCTCAGTCTCACCCACCTCGCAGGGTGGTTGTGCCGGTAGGACGCACCTTAGCTTGGAGGAAGGGGGAGAGAAAAATGCACTCAGCAGAACAAGACCTTCGAAGGGAGCAATGGCTGGGTCTGGGCAGGGGGCGAATGTCTCAAGGGACAGGGTCGAGGAGGAGGTAGCGGTGTCCCAGACGTGGCTGTGCCCCTTGGCTGCTAAAGAAAAGCAGGACTGAGCCAGCACACCTGGCCTCGCTCACTTCCGGCATTGAACCTGCCTGCCTTTTGACACTTTGGGGTGTTTTGCTGTGTGGGCGGCGGCGCTGTCGGCAGGTCCTCGGGAACACGACCTGAGCCGTTCCGGCCAATCCCTGACTTCTGCACCACAGCTGCTTTCAGCTCTCTTGCCTCTCGCCAACCTCTCCTTGTCTCTCCCCCTGTCCGCAGTTCGGCACGTGGCAACACGCCCAGCGGTACGGAGGGATCTACGCCTCGTGGGCCCTGGTTATCCTCTTGGCGGTGCTGTGCTTCGGCCGCGCCATGTACTGGGCCTGCATGAGGGTCAGCAATCCGATCCAGAACTTCTCCTGAAGCTCCCCCCGGGCTCTCCGTTTCCAGTTGCTGCTGCCGCCGCTCCCAGCGTGCCATCTGCCGAGAGCCAGCCCCGCCCTCTTCTTTTCCTCCCCTCTGGGGCCGGGACCTTTTTGTGCCACCCCCTCGCTGTGCCAGCGCCGCCACCACCCCCCTGGATCACCATCATTGCTTTTACCACCTCGAGAGGCTTCCCCGGAGACCCTTGCCTGGGCAGGGAGCGGTGCCAAAAACGAACATTCGGACCGGAACGAAACTCGATTGCCGAAAAACTGTGTCTGTCCCAGAGCCAGAGACATTCCCACGAACCTCAACGGACAGTGGAACTCTTGATCAGACCAATTCCAAGAGGTGTTTTGGGAGTCGGGATTGCGAGCGATTCCCTTCTGTGGGCGGCAGTCTGAGCTATGGGGGGGCTGCGTGCTGGGGGCCGACGGCATAGCGGCATGGTCCAGCGGGACCTTAGAGAAGAGGCCACCCGATGGGAATGGACCGCGACGGGCCTTTGTGTCTCGAGGGGCTCGGCTGGGACACTTTGAAGGGCGGTACGCTTTGAGCAGACGTTTGCTGTTCTCGGAGCTTCTCGGGCACGTCGTGGGCGGAATGCCAGAGAGCGATGAGGAGTCCTCGTTGCGTTGACCACACCCCTTTCCACCCTGTGCATGAGGAGCAGCGGGAGAGGGGACCGGCCAAGCTGCTGCGGCAATAATGGCGAATTGCACATTCCTCGAACGGCGGGCTGGAGAAGGCGAGCAGACGGACGCTGCGGGTGTGTCTGTGGCTCTAGTCAGCTTCTGTTCCTCGTCGCCTGGTTGCTTGAACGCCTCCCCCGTGAGTCCCGGCGTCTCCATTCCTGAATCCTCGTGTCTCGTAATGCCAGGTGGAGTTGGCCTCTTGGGGCCTGTCCCTTTCTCCCCTCGTTTTGAGACCAGCCACGATCTTGAGAGTGAGGCCTGGTCCCGAGAGGACTTCGGACCCCGCCAGAATGTAACTGAGGCATTATTCCCCCCCCCCTTTGATTCCCTCGGTCTCACACGGCTTCTTTCATTGCACATTCCTGGGTGGAGGGATTCCTCACCGGCCTCTCTCCCGGGGAGCCCCGTCCCCATTCTTGGAGGTTGGGGAGGGGTGCGTGATGTTACCCATCATGCATTGGTGTGTTCAATTTTAATTTGGGAGGTTCCCCCCCCCCAAACCTGAGTGGGAGGCATGAATTCCGGGATGGGCCAGACAAGCTCTCCTCCCACCTGCGCTCACCATTTCCGTTCAAGGGGCTGCCCATTCCTTCCGCCCTCATTTCTGTTCCTGGAGACCTTTTGGATCCCCAGCTTCCCCCACCAGGAAACTCACTCCTGTGACCCCTCAGGGGGGCAAAGGGGTGGCTGCGGGGAGGGTGAGGGCCCTTCCGAGGCCTAGAGCATCCGAGGCCTGCGAGGACTACTTTCCAGGAGGCGCCTGGCCTCCGGCTGTGGGCCTTGAGGACTGGCTGAGGCAGCACGACAGGGGGCAGGTTCCGGCTGTCGATCCAGAAGTCGTCCCAGGCGCCGGGGAGTGTGTTTTTGGTCTTGCTTCCATGCCTGTCTTGGCTTCTGTCAGGGAAGGGGGGTGATTTCCCCCCCCCCCAGCTCTTCTTCCCCCCGGCTTTGAGCTTCGTTGCTGTTGCGGCTTGTATATAAAGACGACGTGCGTGTACAGAGCTTATTTAAATCTCTCTGTCCTCCGTGGCGCCTGCCCACGCCCTTTCCCTTTTCCTCCTCCTGTTCTCCCGCACCCTCCCCTGTCTGGGTTCAGCTTGCGTCTTCATCTTCCTCCTCTCTCTCACCAAGGCCGGAGGAGGAAGTTTAAAAAACAACAACAAAAGGTTGGATGGTTGTAAATAAAGTTGAGATTCCATACAGTGAGAAAACGTGTTTGGGCAAAAACTGTTTCGTTTCGCTTAATGGGGCCCGTGCCAATCCAAGGTGCGTTAGGTATGCGGGCACGTTGCCTTTCCAAGCTGAAAGCGTCTTGTAGGAAGCTGGTTTCCCTTTTGTCGGCTTAGGTAAAGGTAAAGGTTCCCTTGCTTGAATGCCAGTTGAGCCCGACTCTAGGGTTGCGGTGCTCATCTCCGTTTTAAAGCCGAAGAGCTGTCCGAAGATGTTTCTGTGGTCATGTGGCCGGCATGACTAAACACAAAGGCATACGGAACGCTGTTACCTTCCCACTGAAGTGGTACCTATTTATCTACTTGCAATTTCTTGCTTTCGAACTGCTTTTGTCAGCTTACTTCTATGTAACTTGCCCAAGGACTCAGGCTGGTAGCCACATTGGTGTGAAGCAATAGAACAAAGTTAAGAGTCCAGTGGCATCTTTAAGACCAGCGAAGTTTAATGCTTGGGTATAAGCTTCCGCATGCACACAAGGGCTTATACCCAGGATTAAACCTTGTTAGTCTTAAAGGTGCCGCTGGACTATAACTTTGTCCTGTTTTCCAAGGACGGGCTCCGTCACTTTGAATCATTTGGCCCTCTTGATCTCCTACCTATGATCTCAGGACAATTTGGCACATGAAGCCAAAAGACCCAAGATTCTTGCACAGCTACTTCAACATGTCAGATCATCAGGAGCAGAGGCTAAGGCCTCCAACAGAGAGGGCCGGCCGCGAAACAGCAGAGAGATGTGGGGTCGGTAGCAATGCTCCCTCTAAGCTGTGGAGACTTGTGAGCAAAAACTCTACTTTGTGAGCTGCTGGCATTAAAGTTGTGAGCGAGCCATTTGGCCACGGCAGAAATTAGTTTGCTCTGGAGCCCTCCTTCCTGAGCTAAGACAAAGATGTGTGAGCCGGAGGCTAAAAAACTGTGAGCCAGCTCACACTCACTCAGAGGGAACACTGGTCGGTAGTGGGCTCTTCTTCAGCCTCCACTCCTCGTAGGCGCCCCAGACTTCCTTGGAGGCCTCCCATCCAAGTCCTCACGGAAGCTGATCCTGCTTCGCTTCTGAGATCTGACCAGGCTGGGCTAGTCCTGGGCTTTCTAAGTCAGGACTGGGCACGTCTCTTCCCCTAAGTATCATGGGTGACCCACACCCCAGAAAACTTTCCCCGGGCAAGCCTTGAGGAAATGGTTTACACCCCTAAGAACAGTTTTTTACACCCCAGTTTTTTACACCCCTCCCTAAGAACAGTTTTTTACACCCCTCGCTCTGGCCGGAACCCTGGACACAAGCCATATTACTCCGCGCAATGTGCTGCCTTTTAAAAAGATGCACGATGTTTAAGGCAAGTGATTATTATACTGTCGGTCGTGTTTCCCCAGTCGGACTGCAGAATACGGGGACTGTCCTGCACATTTACAGCTTTTCTTCGGGACAGGCTGTAATCCACAATCCGTTCTGACCAGGCTGGGCTTTCTAAGTCAGGACTGGGCACGTCCCTTCCCCTAATTATCATGGGCGACCCACACCCCAGAACACTTTCCCGGGCAAGCCTTGAGGAAATGGTTCACAGCCCTCGCTCTGGCCGGAAACCTGGACACAAGCCATATTACTCCGCGCAGTACGTCCTGTGATCCAGTTCGTGCACCTCTTGTTTCTCCTTGGGAAGAGCTCTGCAAGACTCCTGGGAAGCGAAGCATGATTTCTGCACCTCAGAGCAAATCCCAGGCGGTGGTTTTTAGATGACGACTGTTTGAGATGCCTGCAAACAGTGTTTCCTCTAAGCGGAGTTAGAGTGAGCTAGCTCACAGTTTTTTAGCCTTCAGCTCACTTGTTCCTGCTAATAGGATTGGGCCAGGAAGACTCCCCCCCCCCAGCACCCTTCCCTGCCAAAACTGAACAAGTCCTGTGATCCAGTTTGTGCGCCTCTCGTTTCTCCTCGGGAAGAGCTCTGCAGCAAGACTCCTGGGAAACGAAGCTTAATTTCTGCGCCTCAAAGCAAATCCCAGGCGGTGGTTTTTAGATGACGACTGTTTGAGATGCCTGCAAACAGTGTTTCCTCTAAGCGGAGTTAGAGTGAGCTAGCTCACAGTTTTTTAGCCTTCAGCTCACAGGTTTTTGCCTCAGCTCAGGAAGGACGGCTCCAGAGCGAACTCATTTCTGCAGTGGCCAAATCGCTGGCTCACAACTTTAATGCCAGCAGCTCACAAAGTAGAATTTATGCTCACAAGACTCCCCGGCTCAGAAGGAGCACTGCCTGCAAAGTCCACGTTTTGCACGACTAGCTACTGATGTGCTTCACAGAGGCTGAAATCTAGAGGCAACAGAGGCAGAGAAGAAGAGTGAGCTGGCTCACAGTTTTTTAGCCTCCAGCTCACAGGTTTTCGCCTCAGCTCAGGAAGGACGGCTCCAGAGCGAACGAATTTCTGCAGTGGCCAAATCGCCGGCTCACAACTTTTAATGCCAGCAGCTCACAAAGTAGAATTTATGCTCACAAGACTACCCGGCTCAGAGGGAGCACTGCCTGCAAAGTCCACATTTTGCACAACTAGCTACTGATGTGCTTCACAGAGGCCGAAATCTAGAGGCAACAGAGGCAGAGAAGATGGGGTCCCTAAGAACTTAATTCCAACGGAGTCCGGTTGAGCGTTTCAGTGGGGGGGCGGGGGCGCTGCGCCCAGTACTTTCCCAGGGGAAAGTTGGGTTGCAGAAGGCGTTTTGAAGGAAACGAGTCGTGCTGGGAGGCAGGAGATGGCTTCAGCTGCTCCAGGGCAAGACCAGGTCCAAGGCATGGCCTAATCCCGATTTGAGAATGAGCCACTTGCCTGTTTCCCCTTTTGCCCGAGAGGCTTTCTTATCAAGCACCGTGCAAATACTTCTTCGGCCTGGGGAAGAGACCCTTGAGGGGTTCCTCCTTCCAGGACACGCGGCGGGCTGGTCATGTTCACCACAGCAGACCAAAGGAGGCCCTTCACCTGGGCAGAGGCATGAGAATGCAGCAAAGCTACTTGGCCATTTCCCAGAATTTCAAGTCTCAAGAAGAAGAAGAGATTGGATTCATACCCCGCCCTTCACTACCCAAAGGTGTCACAGAGCGGCTGACAAACTCCTTTCCCTCCCCCTCCCCACAACAGACACCCTGTGAGGGAGGTGGGGCTGAGAGAGCTCTTGACAGAAACTGCTCTTTTTCAAGGACAGCTCTTATCAGAACTACGGCTTGCCCAAGGTCATCCAGCCAGGTGCAAGTGGAGGAGTGGGGAACCAAACCCGGTTCTCCCAGACTAGAGTCCGCGCGCTTAACCACTACACCAAACTGGCTCTCAAGGAAGTCCAGTGTCTTTCCCATGGGCTGGGCCTGCTGTTAGAGAAGCACACCTGCTGTTAGAAGAAGTGCCCTGCTGGATCAGACCAATGGTCCATCTGGTCCAGCATCCCGCCTCACACAGTGGACAACCAGTTCCTCTGGACGGCCAACAACAGGGCATAGAGGCCGAGGCCTTCATTAGAACGTCACGAGCGCTGCTGGATCAGACCAGTGGTCCATCTAGTCCAGCATCCTGCCTCACACAGTGGACAACCAGTTCCTCTGGACGGCCAACAGCAGGGCAGAGAGGCCGAGGCCTTCCTCAGAACGTCACAAGAGCCCTGCTGGATCAGACCAGTGGTCCATCTAGTCCAGCATCCTGTCTCACACAGTGGACAACCAGTTCCTCTGGACGGCCAACAACAGGGCAGAGAGGCAGAGGCCTTCCCGTGAGGTCGCCGCCTGTCTCTGGGATTCTGAGGATTAGTGCCTCTGAATGTGGAGGTTCCCCACAGTCACCATGGCTCATAGCCATTGATAGACCCATCGTCCATGAATCTATTTAATCCTCTTTTATAGCTGTTTATTCCTGTGGCCACCACGACATCCTCTGGCAGCAAATTCCACCTTTTAATCACTCTGTGTAAATTAGTATTTCTTTTTGTCCGTCCTGAACCCACTGCCCGTCAGCATCATGAATCTAAAAAACATCCAGTTCTGTCAGCCACACAAATTATACTTACACAGATGTTTTTATTATCACATGGAAGGATAGTGTAGAGTAACAGGCCACTAAAAATCTCAGTAATGCTGGCTTTTGAAATCACATGGGAGTGTTCCTCACATGGTTTCTGTCAACGAATGAAGCCACACCACCTAGTAGTGTGCTTTAAAAGAAAATGTGGAACAAAGCCAGTTTGGTGTAATGGTTAGGAGCACAGACTCTAATCTGGGAGAACCAGGTTTGATTCCCCACCAGTGCTCCCTCTAAGCTGTGGAGTCTTGTAGGCAAAAATTCTATTTTGTGAGCTACTGGCATTAAAGTGGTGAGCGAGCCATTTGGCTCCGGCATAAATTAGTTTGCTCTGGAGCCACCTTTCCTGAGCTAAGACAAAAATACTTGAGCTGGCAGCTAAACAACTGTAAGCTAGCTCACACTGACTCAGCTTAGAGGGAACACTGTTCCCCACTCTCCCACATGCAGCTGCTGGTGTGACCTTGGGTCAGTCACAAGTTCTCTCAAGGGCAGTTCTCTCAGAGCTCTCTCAACCCCACCTACCTCACAGGGTGTCTGTTGTGGGGAGGGAAAGGAGATTGTAAGCTGCTCTGAGACTCCTTGGGGTAGTGAAGGGCAGGGTATAAATCCAGTCTCCTCCTCTCCTATTACATACTGATGAAGCATTATTCCTCCTGCTCTGAGACATTTTATCTGAAGAGAGACTCTAGGACAGTGATGGCGAACCTTTTAGAGACCGAGTGCCCAAACTGCGACCCAAAACCCACTTATTGATCGCAAAGTGCCAACACGGCAATTTAACCTGAATACGGAGGTTTTACTTTAGAAAAAAAAAACTCATACATTAACTTAAGATGATCCAAACAAAGTAAGGAAAGCAATCCCAAATGCTTTCATTTATTTAAAATTATTTGGCAGAGAATTCGACACTTTAATGATGGTCTGGGGGGCGATGGCACGCGTGCCCGCAGAGAGGGCTCTGAGTGCCACCTCTGGCACCCGTGCCATAGGTTCGTCACCACTGCTCTACGCCTATTCACCCCTAACAAAAGGGCTGAGCAAGTAGTTCTAGGATGGTGTTCAACCCCTGCCATAAAAGATCTCAAAACCAGGAGGAATAATGCTTCAGAGAATGGTGTCAGTGGTGGTGTATATGATTCTCCCCTCTTCTGCTTTATCACCACAACAACCCTACAAGGTAGGCAAAAATGAAAGTGCATTGACCAAGGTCACCTAGTAATTTTCACAGTGGGTAATAACCCAAGCCCAGTTCTCACCCCTTCAGCCGTGCTAGCGCCGACTACAGGGGTCCCTGTGGGAAACTTCGGGGTTCTGACAATGTGATGGGCGCAGCCACGCCAATAGTAGGAGGCAGAACTCCCGCCACAGAAGGGCGGCCCCCGCTTCCCACCAGTCACCCAGGGAAGAGCCTTGTCCTGGAATGGCCGCTCCTGCCAAAACAACACTTTTTTAAAAATCCACAGAGCCAACCAGAAGCCTCGCTGGGTGAAAGCCCCACCCACTTTCTAAAAACATTTGGGAGGCACCGGGAAAGGTGGAACACTGGGGGACTCCGGTCCTGCCGGCTCTCGTGTCTGAAACTCTCAACCCACCAGTCAATAGGACCGCTCTCTAAACCTCTGAGCCACTGGGTCCTCTCTCTGAAACTGCCTCTCAACACACGAATCCGCCTTCTACCGAATCAGACCCTCGGTCCGTCAAGGTCAGTACTGTCTACTCAAGACTAGCGGCAGCTCGCCAAGGTCTCGAGCAGAGGTCATTGACATCACGTATTAGGTAAAGGTTTCCCCTTGCTCGAAAGCCAGCCGAATCCGACTCTAGGGGGCGGTGCACCTCTCAGTTTCCAAGCTGAGGAGCCAGCGCTGTCCGAAGACTTCTCAGTGGTCTTGTGGCTGGCGTGACTAAACGCTGAGGTGCACGGAACGCTGTGACCTTCCCACCGAAGCGGTACCTATTTACCTACTTGCACTGTCTTGCTTTCGAACTGCTAGGCTGGCAGGAGCTGGGGCCAGAGACGGGAGCTCACTCCGTCACGTGGCACTCAGGTCTCGAACTGCTGAGCTACAGACCTTCCGGTCTGCAGCTCAGTGTCTTAACCTCTGAGCCACCGCAGCCCCCTACGTCATGTATTACCTGGGTCCTCCTTTTAACTGGGGCTTGAACCTAGGACTTCCTGCATGCAAAGCAGAGGCTCTTCCACTGAGCCAGGGCCCCTCCCAGGCAGAATAAAGTCTTGATTCAGTGCCTGAAGTCTACTCTCCCACCAATTCCATACTTGGGGGGGGGGGATGGAAAAATCGCCACCGTGCTGAACAGTAATGTGCACTTCCCTTTGCAGGAGACTTAAGAGGCAAGCCGGGCCAGGCCACAATGGCAAGAACCGTCAGTGCAGAACTAAACATACATGATTGAGGACTCTCGCCCAAGACAACTCCTGCCCTCTTACACTAAAGGCACTCAAAATACGACAGGCACTTTTTTTTTTAATAAAAGGAAGTTTAATGCTTTTTGCAGAGAGAAACTTTCTTACAGCACCAAGCCTCCTAAAAGCAGGAAACTGGATAGGGCAGAGTGCCTTTTAAGGAGAGAGAAAAAAACCAGTTGTTAGATACAAAATTAGAGAACTCCAGTGATTTAGAGCAACAATAAGGGAGGTCTGTCAAGTGGGAAAAAGAAATTCAGTAGCGATTCCCTGCCTTCCCCTACCACGGCCTCAATCAAGCCTCCCACATTGGGAATCCCCGCGTGTGGGTCTGCCAGGTTCTGAGCCGGAAGTCCCGTGGCCTTGCTGTGGGGAAGAAAGAGGCGGCATGGCTTCTTCGGCATCCGAGTATCTCATCCTTCTGGACTCTGGAGTGGAGAGGCATTGCTTGCTGTAGCAGGCAGAGGGAAAGAAGGGGATACACAAACGTCCGAAATTAGACGAAGGGTTACCATCGTCTGGTTAGCCCGGGAACGGCCTCTCTTCCGGGTCAGGAGCTGGCAAACCCTATCGGCATCTCTGGCTCCCCTGCCACGATAGAGAAGTCAAGCCACTGTCGTGAGGGTGTGCACACGGGGTTTTTCCACCCGCGGCTCCCCCTCCCATCCCATCACACAGCCAGATACAAGGTGATGGGGCAGTGGTCACTCCCCAGGGCCTTGGAGCGGATCTTGCTGTCGCACAGGCCCTCCAGCAGCCCGCCGGATACCAGGAAGTAGTCGAGCCGCCAGCCGACGTTCTTGGCCCGGGCGTTCATCATGTAGGTCCAGAAGGTGTAGGCGTAGGGAGCATCGGGGTAGAGGTGGCGGAAGGTGTCGGTGAAGCCGGCCTCCAGCAGCTGGCCGAAGCCCGCCCGCTCTTCCGGTGTGAAGCCCGCGTTCTTCTTGTTGCCCTTCGGGTTCTTGAGGTCGATCTCTTGGTGCGCCACATTGAGGTCGCCGCACAGGATCAGGGGCTTGCGGGCGCCCAGCCCTTGGAGGTAAGCCCGGAAGGCCTTGTCCCAGCGCTGGCGGTACTCCAGCCGCACCAGCCCCCGGCCAGAGTTGGGCACGTAGGCGGTCACCAGGAAGTGGGAGGGGAACTCGGCCGAGATCACGCGGCCTTCCTTGTCATGCTCCTCCTCACCTGTAGAGGGGGGCAGAAAAGTTGGGAAGTGAGATGGAAGCGACCACAGCTGTCTGCGCATGTGTGCGTGATGCGCCGTCAAGTCACTTCCAACTTGCGGTGACCCTAACGACCAGTGTTCCCTCTAAGCCGGGTTAGTGTGAGCTAGCTCAGTTTTTTAGCCTCCAGCTCGCACATTTTTTGTCTTAGCTCAGGAAGGAGGGCTCCCGAGCAAACTGATTTATGCAGCAACTGAATCGCTCTCTCACCACTTTAATGCCAGCAGCTCACAAAGTAGAGTTTTTGCTCACAAGATTCCACAGCTTAGAGGGAGCGTTGCTAACGCCCCCCCCCCAAAACGTTCCGTTGGCTGCGGCTTCCTTGACTGAGTCTGTCCATCTCGTGTTGGGATATTCTGCCCCTTGGGTGGTGTGTGTGTGTGGCCTGCAATCTCAGAATGCAGATTTGGGAATGCAAAAGTGTGAAAACAGAAGGAGGGAAGAAATCTAGAGGCAGGCGGGGCACACAGTACAAAGGCCCGAGAAACCAATGGGCAAAGGCCGCTGAATGCAATGGGGGGTGGGAATGCGGGCTCTGGGAAGAAGAAGAGGACAGGAGATTGGATTTATATCCCGCCCTTCACTACCCAAAGGAGTCTCAGAGCAGCTGACAAACTCCTTCCCCTCCCCACAACAGACACCCTGTGAGCACTGTTCCCTCTAAGCCAAGTTAATGTGAGTCAGCTCAGTTTTTTAGCCTCCGGCTCACACATTTTTGTCTTAGCTCAGGAAGGAGCGCTCCAGAACAAACTGATTTATGCAGTAGCCAAATCACCCGCTCACAACTTTAATGCCGGTAGCTCACAAAGTAGAATTTTTGCTCACTGGACTCCGCAGCTTAGAGGGAACATTGCGTGTGAGGTAGGTGGGGCTGAGAGAGCTCTTGACAGAAACGGCTCTTTTTCAAGGACAGCTCTTATCAGAGCTACGGCTTGCCCAAGGTCATCCAGCCGGGTGCAAGTGGAGGAGTGGGGAATCAAACCTGGTTCTCCCAGATTAGAGTCCGCGCACTTAACCACCACACCAAACTGGCTCTCCCTGGAAGAGCTTACCGATCCCGTACGTGACGTCGATGGGCTTGACCTTGGAGAGCAGGGCCACTCCGCTGTACCCCTCCTTGTCATCTGAACAGGCCCAGTACTTGTGGGGATATTCCGCCATCTCCCGGATGTCCGCGGGCAGCTGTTTCTCGGCACACTTCGTTTCCTGCAGGCAGAGCACGTCGGGGTCTTCCTCGCGCACCCACTGCAGGGAAAGACACTTTTAGCGCCGGGCCCTGGGAACCAGGTCCTCCCACCTCCCGCAAAGAAGGGAGGCGGCCAGTTAGAGCTGGGGAACGCAGACCGCAGTGGGTTAGGGCTTGGCCTGCCCCTTCTTTCCCACCGGAGTGGGTCTGTGGCTGAGCAGTAACGCCCATCCTCTGCGCGGTCCCGATTTCAAGACACAACATTTCCAGTTGGAAGAATCCTGGATAGCAGGTATGGGGAAAGACTAGCCTCTGCTGCTAAGCAAAGGAAGCAGCACTGTGCTGGTTAGGCCAACCTTGGTCCGGCTCGGCACAAAGCCGTGTCATTGGTTCAGCTGCAAATGGCCTGCCGGTGAAAATCCCCTGCTTTCAAAGGCCTACACGCACGAAGCCAAACGGTCTCTGGTCTTAGCCATCTGCGGCCCCAAAGGCCTTCCCTATTGCACCTGGGGGACCTCTGGCTGCTATGCCGCCGCTTAATTGTGGCAACGCACAGGTCCCCCAAGGGCCTTTTGGCAACTCGGTGGCAACATTACTCAAAACAATAAAAGAGTAGAGAATGGAGAGGGGGAAGCAGATGTCCCTGAGTTCAGACTGCATTTTTTTTAAAAAATGGTAGAGTGGGAACATGAACTTATGATGTGTATATATGACAGGCTCTTTTTGTAGCAGGTACTCATTTGCATATTAAGCAACACACCCCTAATGTAGCCAATCCTCCAAGAGCTTACAGTAGCTCCTGTAGGAAGAGCTCTGTAAGCTCTTGGGAGGATTGGCTACATTAAGGGGGTGTGGCCTAATATGCAAAGGAGTTCCTGCTACAAAAAGAGCCCTGCGGGCGGGGCCACGACTACTGATCCATTTAGTCAAGGTGTCGGCCATTCTGAGTGGCAGAGGATCTCGGGGGGTGCGGGGGGGTGGAGGGTGCCTTTCCCAGCACAAGCGGGCAGAGAATTACCTCCAGGCCCTTCTTCTTGAACCAGGCACGGATGCCATCAACATTCCAGGAGGTGATCTTCAACGTGTACTTCTTGCCGCTAGGAGAGGAGAGTTTTTCCGGAGGGTCCTGGTACATGATCGGGCCATCGGCCTCCTTCTCAGCCTTCGCTCCGCCTTTCTTACCCTTCTTAGGCTCTGGCTCTAGCAAAAAAAAAAGGGGGGCGGGGTGGGAGAAGAAACCAAAGCTTCAAAAGGGAATTAGATAAGCATATGGAGCAGAGGTCCATCAGTGGCTATTAGCCACAAGGTATAGATAGGGGCTCTCAGTCTGGGGCAAGGGATGCTCTGTCTTCTTGGTGCTTGGGGGGGGTCAACAGCGGGAGGGCTTCTAATGTCCTGGCCCCACTGGTGGACCTCCTGATGGCACCTGGTATTTCTGGCCACTGTGTGACACAGAGTGTTGGACTGGATGGGCCTTTGGCCTGATCCAACATTGGCGTCTCTTATGTTCTCAAAGGCCTTGTTGTTAGTCACGGGGAAAATGGGGTCAGCAAAGGCTTGTAATTAACTTCCCATCTAGTCACCTCTGGCGAGCAGACGTTCAATCCAGGTGACCGTGGGGGGGCAGTTTTAGAAAACTCGGTTCCCTTTAATACACCAATTGCCAGCCCGTTATATTTGTCAAAGGCCACACAACAGCATCAAGATGGGTTCCCAGGGTTGTGCGAGCGGTTGTGTTATGTACGTACATATGCTCTTAGGAGAAGAACGCTACCAAGGAAGAAGAAGAAGAAGAAGAGATTGGATTTATACCCCGCCCTTCACTACCTGAAGGAGTCTTAGAGTGGCTTACAAACTCCTCTCCCTTCCCCTCCCCACAACAGACACCCTGTGAGGTAGGTGGGGCTCAGAGAGCTCTTGACAGAAACTGCTCTTTTTCAAGAGCAGCTCTTATCAGAACTATGGCTTGCCCAAGGTCATCCAGCCAGGTGCAAGTGGAGGAGTGGGGAATCAAACCCGGTTCTCCCAGATTAGAGTCCACGCACTTAACCACTACACCAAACTGGGATATCCCTGGCCTCGAGGGCAGAAATAGGGATGGAGAATAACATTCCGCTTCCTTGGAGTCTCAACTTTTGTTTAAAATTCTGGCAACCTTCCCAGAACTTGCTTACAGCAGATGAGTTGCTTGTGTTTTACTGTGTAAACCGCAGGAATGTTCCTCAAGGTCAATCTAAATTGTCTCACCCCCACCAATTAGTTCTGTTTTCTTAGTCCAATGGAGAGGGAAAGTTTCCACAGTCACCAGCCTTTCAGTAATACATTGGAGTAAAAACACAGCTTTCAAAGCACTCTCAGACTTTTTAAGCTTCTACACAGTTTCCCTTCTGAGACAATCTCCTTGATTTAAATGCTGCCAGCCAGTGTTATTATATTTTCAGAGACCACCAAAAATTTCTAAAGGGCTTTTCTGAACCTCCCAGTCCTGCCCCTGGTGGGGTAAAAAATTGAGCACGTTGAAATGTGGTCTCTATATTCCCTCAATTATCTTAAGGTATGATTCAGCCTTCAAATTAATAGGTTTTAGCCTGCTTACTATCAAAACATCGCCCCGGAGCAAAAAGTGAAAGTAAAGGGCTCCCGTCTGTCCTCTTTCGTTGGCCGCTTTAACCGAGGGGAAAATCACCCTCCCACGCTGTAAGACTCTTTAGGGGCTTGGTCTCCTTGATTTAAATGCTGCCAGTCAGTGTTATTACATATGCTATACAAGTAACTGCCTGACCATTGAAATCGCTGCACACATAGCGGGGGAGAAGGACATGAGCACGCTGGTCCCACCTATGTGCCAGCTAATGTGCATGGAATCTACATGTGCACAACCCTGTGTGCACATAGGTTCTATCCCTGTGATCAGG